GCCTCCGCCGCGGCAACGACGCCGGCGACGACTCCGACGACTTCGAGGGCCGGCTCCTGCGGTCGCGCCGCGTCGGCGGCCGCCGCCTCGGCGGCCGGCGGCGCCGCGATGACGACGAGCCCGCGCGGACGCGGCCCCGGCGCGCGGCGGCCATGGACGGCGCCGGCGCGGGCCGCCGGCGCTACGACGACTCGGACGACGACGAGTCCGAGGACGCGGCGCCCGTCGCGACGCGGTCGCGGCGCCGCCGCGGCGCCGCCGCCGACGTCGGGCGCCGCGCGCGGCGCCGCGTCATCGACATCGACGACGACGACGACGACGGCGGCGGCGGCGGCGGCGACGACGACGACGAGGAGGAGTTCGACGAGGGGCTCCTCGACGACGAGGACTCGGAGGGCTCGACCGCGCGCGCGGCGCGCGTCGCGCGCGAGGCCGACGAGGAGGAGGCCGCGGCCGAGGCCGCCGCGGCGGAGGCCGAGGCGGCGCGCGTGGACCGGAGCGTCGTCGACCGGTCCTGGGCCGAGGAGGCGGCGCGGCCGCGGCCCGAGGACCCGGGCTGGGCGACGTACGTGCCCCAGGAGCGCGACGCCGTCGTCTACGTCGCCGAGGCGCACCACCGCCAGGCGCTCCTGCTCAGCAGCGGCGTCGTCCACGGCGCCGAGGCGCCGCCCTGGCGCCGGGACGCCGCCGCGTCCGTCGCCGCGCGGCTCCTCCGCGACGGCGCGGCCGCGCTCCGCTGCGTCGTCGAGGACGTCAGGTACGAGCTGCCCGAGGCGACGTCGGCCGCGCGGGCCATCGTCGCCGTCGTCACGCTCGCCGTGACGGGCGCGCCCGCGGCCGCGGGCTTCGGCGGCGGCGACTTCGACGACCTCGAGGCCGAGCGGCCGCGGCGCCGCGGCGCGAACGCGGCGCCGCCGCCGTCCAAGGCCTTCGTCGTCCGCTGCCGCAAGTGCGACGCGCCGGACTTCCTCGTGCCCCTCCACAAGTACGAGGCGGCGCTCGGGAGCGCTGACGCCTTCGCGGCCGGCGCGGAGCTCCACCTGCCCTACGTCGGCGACCGCGTCGAGCGGTCGCGCGGCGCCGTCGTCCGCGTCGACGGCGCGGACGGCGACGGCGAGCCCCTCTACCCCGGCGAGCCGGGCCTCGCCGCGTCCCTCTACGACCGGGTCGTCCTCGACATCGACGGCGCCTCGGAGCCCTGCTCCCCCTGGGAGTGCGAGCCGCTCGAGGGCCCCGCGTTCCCGGGCCAGCGGCCGCTCCCGGCGCTGTCGTCGCGCGCCAAGGCGTCGCTCCTCAGCGCCATCCGCGCCCTCAAGCGCCGCGACGACGTCCCCACGGAGGCCTTCGAGGCCCCGGCCGTCGCGGGCCTCGACAACCGCGTCCGCAAGAACTACCTCCGCGTCGTGCCGTACCCGGTCGACCTCCAGCTCCTCGTCGACCGCCTCAACGGCGACTACTACCGCTCCCTCGACGCGTTCCGCGCCGACGCCGCGCGCATCCACGGCAACTCCGTCGCCTTCAACGGCTCGGACTTCGAGCTCACGCTCGAGGCGCGCGAGCTCAAGGACGCGCTCCTCGAGGCCGCGGACACGGCGGCGCGCGAGCTCGGCCAGGGCAACTTCGAGGACCTCCTCGCCGGCGAGGAGGACGAGGAGGACAAGGCGGAGGCGGAGGAGGAGGCCGAGGAGGCCCCGCCGCCGCGCGCCCGCGGCCGCCGCCGCGCGCCGCCGTCGAGCGACGACGAGGAGGACGAGGCGCCGCCGCCGACGAAGGCGCGGCCGAAGCGGCCCCGCCGCGGCGCCCAGGCGGCCGAGGAGGAGGACGAGGACGAGGAGGAAGACGACGACGACGACGACGACGACGACGACGAGGAGGAGGAGGACGACGACGACGACGAATCGGACGAGTCGGACGAGTCGCCGCAGCCGCGGAAGCGGTCGCGCCCGACGCGCGCGGCGGCCGCGCCCGCGGCCGCGCCGCCGCGATCGCGCCCGCGGCGCGCCGCCGCCGCGCCGGCGCCCGCGCCGGCGCCCGCGCGGGGCGGCCGCGTGAAGCAGTCCGCGCGGCGCCGCACCGGCGGCGCCGGCGGCGCCTAAGGAGGTCGTCCGCCTTACGCGGGGGCTAGGTGAAGTCCGAGGACGCGGTCCCGTCGTCGGGCGCGCCCGCCGGCGCCGGGAGGGCCGCGGGGATCGCGGGGAGCTTCTCGAGGCTCTGCCCCGACACGTGGGTCACGGAGGAGCCGTGGGACGCGTAGGAGAGCTCGTCGGCGGCCTTCTCGAGGGACGCCTCGAGGTCGAGCTCGTCGCCGGCGTGGTCCCGCGCGGCCTCCCTGAGGTGGAGCTCGACGAGGTCGTGGGCCAGATTCTTGGCCGCGTGGGACTCGAGGAGGCGCTCGTACTTCTTCGTCGACAGGTCGAGGTCGAACTCCGCGTCCGCGAGGGACCCCTTGAGCCGGCTGCACTCGACCTTCGTCGCGCGGGACACGGCCTCGACGTGGGCCGCGTGCTCGTTGGCGTCCTTGGCGACCTGCTCGAGCTCCGCGGCGCGGGTCCGCGACCGCTCCGCGTCGTCCCGCGCGAGCCGGAGCAGGCCCTCGAGCTCCTCGACGCGCCGCGTCGCCTCCGCGAGCGACTCGTCCTTGACGCGCAGCGCGTTCAGGATGCGCCGCACGCGCACGTCGGCCTCGATCTGGACGCGCTCGATGCGCAGGCCCTCGTCCGTCGTCGCGAAGCGCTGCGCCTGCTGGCTCAGGCGCCGCGACGCCTCGCGCCGCTCGCTCGAGTGCTCCGCCTCGGCGATGCGCAAAGTCTCCCGCAGGGCGGCGACGCTCCCGGCCTCGCCGCTGCGGCTGCTCGGCGGGGCGAAGCCCATGGTCCGACGCCCGCGGTGCTCCCGGCCCCCCTACGTTGAGAGACGCATTCGGGCACAGCCCATGGCCGACGCCGGAGAGCGCGTTGGGGGCTGCAATGCACTGCATTGCCGACCTCGAGCAGTAAGCGCGCGCTTATGGCAGCAAAACACCGGCTCTGAGGGCATGCCTTCCAGTGCTGCCCCGCCGGCCGGTCCGCGCTTCGCGCGGGTCGGCGCGACCACGGCGGGGCGCCTCCTGGCGCTCGTCGCCGCCGCGGCTGCCGCCGGCGGCGCCGGCGACCGGAGCGCGCCGGCGGGCCCGCGGCGCCTGCAGGCCGCGGTCGCGACGACGCCCGCGCCGACGACCCTCTGCGCGAGCGTCGCGTTCTCCAAGCGCGTCATCAACGACCAGGCGGACTCGTCCTGGTGGGTCTTCGCGGCCGACGTCGACGGCGACGGCGACGTCGACGCGCTGTCGGCGGCCCGGAACGACGACACGGTCGCCTGGTACGAGAACGATGGCTCCGAGTCGTTCACCGAGCGCGTCATCACGACACTCGCGGACGGCGCCTTTTCCGTCTTTGCGATCGACGTCGACGGCGACGGCGACGTGGACGCGCTGTCGGCGTCCGACGGAGACGACACGGTCGCGTGGTACGAGAACGACGGCTCCCAGTCGTTCACGAAGCGCGTCATCACGGGCTCGGCGGGCGCCGCCTACTCCGTCTACGCGATCGACGTCGACGGCGACGGCGACGTGGACGCGCTGTCCGCGGCCAAGGACGACGACACGGTCGCGTGGCACGCGAACGACGGGTCCGAGTCCTTCACGCAGCGCGTCATCACCGCTGCGGCGGACGGCGCCGCACAGGTGATCGCAATCGACGTCGACGGTGATGGCGACGTCGACGCGCTCTCGGCTTCCAACTCCGACGACACGTTCGCGTGGTACGAGAACGACGGCTCCCAATCCTTCACCGAGCGCGTCATCACGGACTCGGCGGACGGCGCGCTCGCCGTCTACGCGATAGACGTCGACGTCGACGGTGACGTGGACGCGTTGGCCGCTTCCAACGTCGACGACGTGGTCGCGTGGTACGAGAACGACGGATCGCAATCGTTCACGCAGCGCGTCATCGGCACACCCGACGTCCCCCGCACCGTCTTCGCGGTCGACGTCGACGGCGACGGCGACGTCGACCCGGTGTCGGCGTCTTTCACGGGCAACACGGTTTCCTGGTACGAGAACGACGGCTCCCAGTCCTTCACGGAGCGCGTGATCGACACAGCCGCCGCCGGGCCAAATAACGTCTTTGGGTACGACGTCGACGGCGACGGCGACGCGGACTTCCTCATGGCCTCCAGGACAAATTCAGAGGTCGTGTGGTACGAGAACGACTGCGCGCCGGTCACGCCCGCGCCGACGCCGCGGCCGACGGTCAGCTGCACCAGCGTCGCGTTCTCGGAGCGGGTCATCACGACGCTCGCGGACAACGCCTTTTACGTCTTCGCGATCGACGTCGACGGCGACGGCGACGTCGACGCGCTCTCCGCGTCCATGATCGACGATACGATCGCGTGGTACGAGAACGACGGCTCCGAGTCCTTTACAAAGCATGTCATCTCGAACGCGGCGGACGGCGCCTATACCGCCTTCGCCATCGACGTCGACGGCGACGGCGACGTGGACGCGCTGTCGGCGTCCGCCAACGACAACAAAGTCGCCTGGTACGAGAACGACGGGTCTCAGTCTTTCACCACGATCATCATCACGACGGCGGCGACAACGTGCTACTCCGTCTTCGCGATCGACGTCGACGGCGACGGCGACGTGGACGCTCTGTCGGCGTCCGACGGAGACGACACGGTCGCCTGGTACGAGAACGACGGCGCCCAGTCCTTCGTGAGGCGTGACGTCTTCGACTCGGCGGGCGGCCCCCGCGCCGTCTACGCGATCGACGTCGACGGTGACGGCGACGTCGACCCGCTGTCGGCGACCAACACCGACGACACGATCGCCTGGTACGAGAACGACGGCTCCCAGTCATTCACGGAGCGCGTCATCACAAACACGGCGGACTTTGCCTACTCCGTCTACGCGATCGACGTCGACGGCAACGGCGACGTCGACGCGCTCTCGGCGTCCGACATCGACGACAAGATTGCCTGGTACGAGAACGACGGGTCTCAGTCCTTCACGGAGCGCGTCATCACGAACGCGGCGGACGGCGCCACTTCCGTCTTCGCGATCGACGTCGACGGCGACGGCGACGTCGACCCGCTGTCGGCGTCCTACATGGACGACAAGCTCGCGTGGTACGAGAACGACGGCTCCCAGTCCTTCACCGAGCACGCGATCACGAACTCGCTGGGCAACCCTCGCTCCGTCTTCGCCATCGACGTGGACGGCGACGGCGACGTGGACGCGCTCTCGGCCTCCAACAACGACAACACGGTCGCCTGGTATGAGAACGACTGCAGCACGCTGCAACCGACGATGACGCCGCGGCCGACGGACTACTACTTCGAGGGCACGCTGCGGGCGTACTACTCCTTCGACGAGGGCAACGCCACCGACGCGACCGGGTCGTACAGCGGCGAGACCTACAACGAGTACGGGAACGCGCGGAACTTCGGCCCGACGGAGAGCCGCGACGGCGGGGACGCGCTCGGCTTCGACGGCGAAGTCTACGCAGTCTTGCCCGACGCTCTGACGTATGAGGCGCTGACCGGGGATGAGGAGCGGACGATCTGCCTCTGGGCGCGCATCGACGACTGGGACGGCGGCTTTCTCTTCGAGTACGGGAGCGACTCGGCCGACGGAGCGTCGTTCGGGCTCGCCGTTGGAGACGCTGAAAGCAACGTGACGCTCGCTTTGTCCGGTTCGTACCAGACGGTCGTGACGATCTACGGCAACACGTCCTACATCGACTGGGACGACTGGCACCACTACTGCCTGACCTACGACGGCACGGACCTCGTCCTCTACTTCGACGGCCTCGCCGAGGCGACCGCCGCGGTGTCTCTCGACACGGAGACCATGTACGGGCTGAAAGTGGGCGCCGACATGTACGAGTCGAACAAGCTGACGGGCGCCATCGACGAGCTCTACGTCTACACGAGCGCCCTGGACCGGGAGGCCATCTCCGTGCTCTACGGGTCGGTGACGGCGTCCCCGACGGTGACTCCCGCCCCGTCGACGTACTACTTCGAGGGCACGCTGCGGGCGTACTACTCCTTCGATGAGGGCAATGCGACAGATGCGACCGGCGCATACAGCGGCGACACCTACAAGAACGGGCACGCGCGGAACCTCGGCCCGACGGAAAGCCGCGACGGCGGGGACGCGCTCGGCTTCGACGGCGAAGTCTACGCAGTCTTGCCCGACGCTCTGACGTATGAGGCGCTGACCGGGGATGAGGAGCGGACGATCTGCCTCTGGGCGCGCATCGACGACTGGGACGGCGGCTTTCTCTTCGAGTACGGGAGCGACTCGGCCGACGGAGCGTCGTTCGGGCTCGCTGTTGGAGACGCTGAAAGCAACGTGACGCTCGCTCTGTCCGGTTCGTACCAGACGGTCGTGACGATCTACGGCAACACGTCCTACATCGACTGGGGCGACTGGCACCACTACTGCCTGACCTACGACGGCACGGACATCGTCCTCTACTTCGACGGCCTCGCCGAGGCGACCGCCCCGGCGTCTCTCGACACGGAGACCATGTACGGGCTTCGAGTGGGCGCCGACATGTACGAGTCGAACAAGCTGACGGGCGCCATCGACGAGCTCTACGTCTACACGAGCGCCCTGGACCGGGAGGCCATCTCCGTGCTCTACGGGTCGGTGACGGCGTCCCCGACGGTGACTCCCGCCCCGTCGACGTAC